GCTTTACCCCCCCCCTCCCCCCAAGTGCGAATGTAATTTGTGAACGTTCCCTTACGGTTATTTCCACTACTAAATAAATCATTTATTATTTAAGCAAACAGAATAGGCAAGTTTTAAATCGCTGTACCGGTCGGCTGTGATTAAAACCATTAATTATGAGTGCTATAACAATTAATCATAAAGTACAATACTGTTACTTTATGTAATATCCGCTATGCTGATTAAAAGTATATAAACCAGCTAGTTTAAACAAATTTCAATCAAAACAAATAGTAATTTTATATAATAGTTAAATATTAAGTAAAATTATCAAAATGAACTCAATTATTACAATTGTGTTTGGCATTTGCCTGATCATCACACAAGGTATATTCTAATTAAATTACTTGATATTTTATTAATAATAATTAAATTTAATTTTACAAAATGTATAGTGATTTCGGAGGACAATGCTATTGATTACGGAGAACAGGCGAACACCGATGCCGTCAAACTGAGAGTATACTCATTGGTTCAGCCAATCGGACAGATACTGAACGCCGCAGAGGAACGATACAAAAAAGTTGGGTTAACTGTACCCATACAGCTCTATGAGGCGACTAAACTGTTCGCCTTAGAGACCATTCCCTGGGTTTTCAATGAGTTTAAAGCCGTGGCCAACGAGACTGATAGAGAGCGAGTGACCGCACAATTCATTGGCGAAGTCCACGGCTTTAATTATATGAGCGAACGTTTGGATAAACTCCGTCAGAGTCGCCCATTGAATGTAACAGGGTCGGCCGAGAATTTGCTTGGTAGAATTCACGCAATGGATGTGTTTATGCAAGGTGCATTGGATGGTGAAATTGCCAACGCCTCCCATCCAGTTTGGGTGGCATTTCACCAGAGGGTAATTACTTATTCATATCACATTATAATATTAATACCAATATATATTATATTTATAATTTTAATTTTTAATCTAATAGATAAAGCAATTCCTAGCTACCGAAATGCCCAAATTGTACAAGGCTATTGATGAATTGCCATGCGAACAGTCTAAACTAGGAAATCTCCAAGTGTTGATTGCTGATTTGTCACACGCCTCCCTTCCACCTTTGTAAATTATAGACTGTTTTATCTAATATTTAACTAATTAAGACATTAATAAAAATAATTATTTGCATTTTAATTTTTATTTCATCAAATTATCCAAATTATTAAATCAAAGATATTATGTTATATTACATAATAATGTCAATTACATAAATAATGCATAGAAATAATTTTTAAGCAATTTTATATTTTAAGTTAAATACTGTATTTGACAAAATACAAAATTGAGACTTAATTATTTTTAACAATTCTCTTTTACAACATTAATTATAACATTGAAATTATTGACCCGCCATAATTTGTAACGACATCTAATATTATATAAACAGAAATTTGCTAAATACAATGCAAGCAACATTAACCATATAAATGGGATTATATCATGGTTTTTATAATTTGGAAATATTTTCCAGAATATATAATACATTACAACAAGAAGTATGTTTAATAAATTAATACCGATGCACACAATAAATGCATATAAATCTAAACAATCTTCACTGAGATATTGTCCAAACGATTTCATTTCTTTGGTAATCGTAATACCCGTCCATTTCTTGAGGCAAATGTCACACACGTGTCGGCCATTGGTTTGAATGCATCGCTGAAGACATTTGATGTGAATGTGAGCCATAGATCCACTGCAAGCGCACGGAGTTATCATCGATTCCTCGTCTGTGCTCTCCAGACATATCCGACATTCAATCGATACCATTGGTTGGAGATTTATATCCATTGTTTACTAATAATTAATTGATTTTATAAGTTAATTTCACAATTGCATTTCGCACATGTTTCACTTAAGCTAACAAATACAATTGTACAATGTATAATATTTATCAGGGCTATTAATCACATTTTATGCTTGCATAGTAATGATTTGGCTCATTTATAATCATTTTTATTAAGATACAATCATTCAAATTAAATAAATAACTCATTATTAACGAGTCATTAATCACAGTAGAGTATATAAATTATATTTCTTACAATATAAATAGGGCAACCGTAATGATGCTTTTTGGATGCATATTTATAAAGCACTAGTTAAATATTATATGTTATGATTCTCTGACTGATTCCAAGTTTGTGTTTAGTCTGCATATTAAATGACTCAATTATTTGTTGTTCTAAATATACATTAAGTTTTATTTAAAAACGTGGGTCAGTTAAATAATTAATTATAAAACAAACTGATATAGATGTATAATTACTGGTCAGAAATGTTGCGGACAGTGTGAACATTCTAGAAGTTGGGTCCATTAGTTTTATGAAAATCCTATCATAGGTTTGGTATTGTATGTGTGGTTTGCCATAATGTTTACATCTGTCCAGTTTTGGCAAAACTGGCGCCTATGGTGTGAATTTGGGCAGTAATCACATGGACTTATCAAACAGTGTAACTCAACTATTCTCTCAGGTAATGTTTTGATGGCACGGGTGCTGACTCTGTGGCCTGTGGTCTATGACGTGTGTCTCTACGGATACTGCCATCTAAGCCGATACACATGCATAATGCCATAACTTTCAAGGGATGAATAACTACAGCTTATAAACCAATTTAATACTCAATTTGTATTAAATCATTAGATTTACATTGTGAACATGATTAAAACTTATATAATATTTACTATATTTGATAGAAAGCATATGACGTACTGTACATAAGCAGCTAAATATTAATTTAAACCACATTTATTATGCAAATAACGTTTATTGAAATTGTCTTAATAAAAATTAGTCAATGTATTAAATAAAATTAAATCAATAATTTACAAAGGTGGAATTGTAACGTGCGATAAATCGGCGAGCAGCACCGCGATGTTTTTCTGCTTAGAATCCTCGGTAGGTAATCGGGCAATGGCTGAGTAGAGTTTGGGAAATTCGGCAGTCAGAAAGTTTTTAATCTAGATAATTTTGAATAAATAGAGTAAATCAATATTATATTAATTATAAATAAATGTCAGCTTTGTTTTGTTAATGCAATGTATCATAATTAAAATTGAAATTACCCTTTGGTGAAATGCAACCCATAGTGGATGCGACGCAATGGACATCTCAGTGTCCAGAGAATCTAGCATAAATTGTTCGGTTCCCTTTAGCCTATTCAACAACTCGTCGGCCGATCCTTTGACCACCACATCAGCGCTCTTACGGATTTTGTCCAACCGTTTGCTCATATAATTAAAGCCGTGGACTTCGCCCAAGAATTGTGCGGTCACTCGGGATCTATCGGTAGAGTTGCCGATGGACTTGACCTGACTGAACACCCAGGGAATGGTCTCAATGGCAAACACCTTAGCGTCGCCGTACAGACCTATGGGTACGGGTAGGCCTACATTCCCGTACCGTTTAATGGCCGCATCCATTAACTGTCCGATGGGCTGAACCAATGAGTATACTCTCAGTTTGACGGCATCGGTATTTGCCTCCTCTCCATAATCGATGGCATTTTCATCACAATTTACTAATGAAATGATAGATTTTAATTAAATATTATCATGATAGAATTTTTAAAAAATTATAATTCACCTTGCACGATTATCAAGCAAATACTAAATAAAATGTTAATAATTGAATTCATTTTTAGTGATTTAACTTGGTTGTTAAATTTACTAAAGCCAAGTATGATTAGTTATGTTTGAAATTTGTTTGAAACTACCATGTTTATATACGTTTAAATTTTCTATTAATTATTATGATATTTGATGATGGACGTAATATTTATAATAATTAATTAATATCTCGGCCATAAAATTTTGCACTAAAAAATATGAAAATTAGTACTATTTTTTAAAAACATGTACGAATGTTGTATAATTAATGTGTTTGTAGTTATTGTAATTATTATATTGAATAACAATAAATTATCCAGCATGTGCATATTATAATAATAGAGATTACAAAGATAAATATAAAAATCTCTGACAAAACTTACAAAAGCAAGCCTATTAATTTATAAATAAAAATAATTATATGTTTCAAATACTGTAATTTACAATGTGGTAGTTATGATCTTTATTTCCTAAATAGAATTGTAATTAATTAAACAAAACAAGTGTCAAAATTTGAATTATATAAATATCCACCATGTTCACATAAATGATAATTAATGAGCATCCTTAAATTTAATTCAATTTATGTTACATGGCAATTCCTTAGTACATAAGGTTAATTTATTAAGATTTATCTTAAAACTATTTAAACACACCTACTATATTATTAGAAAATATTTAAGGTATAAATATCAGAACATTTTCATCAACTGAATCAGTTAATAATATATACTTATAGTAATAAAAAAATACTGTAGTTAAAAGTATATAAAATATAATTAAACTAAAATGCAATCTATAATCGCCGGTATTGTAGTCGCTGTTATTTTTGCAGCAAACATTGGTAAGTGATTTTAATATTAAAATTTCAAATTTCTCTCTCTCTCTCTCGACAGCGGCCAACACACGGCTCTCCAGTGCT